AATTAAAAAGAAAATTGAGTCCTACTCATTGAATGGCACAGCCAACTTCAAGGCAGTCAGAGTCAGGGGATGTTAGAACACTTAGGATATTTATCCTTTACAGCAAGGCATTATTAACCTGGAAATAGAGGAGCTCTTATAAAACCATTCATGAAAAATGGCCTGTATTGTTACACTCATGCTGCAGGAAGAGAAAGGAAGGCACAAAGATATAAACAAGGTTTTCATCATTGAACCATAGGGGATTGACTCTGTTACAGTACCATGGATACCAAGCATATTTCTGAACATCCAGTCAATCATGTATGAGCAAGAATTATATGCAGCACACCCTGCTCATTATACATACTTTTGACATGTCCAGTGCATTGGAAGGAAAATCCCAGAACTAGAGGAAACAAAAGTTGACAAAGTATTTCATTTCAGGAAGAAGGGAAGCTTGGGTTTGTGTATATGTGTATTTCCAAAAGAGTCATTGTTATTGTACAGATGAACACGTCATCTTCTTCCTCACAAACAAAGGCATGAGACCCTTTGTGTTTGACGTGCACCCCTCAAAGTAAGGGTCTTGCACTGATGCCAGTGGAAAGGTTGCTCTGCAACGAGCACACAACACCAACATAAAGGAAATCATTGTTCAGCTATGACAGCAGATTTTTGCCATCAGTGTTTTAATCAAGTTACAAGTGAAGATGTATGTCTTATGGCTTTGGCTGTTTCCCAGGTCTGTGGCAGATACTCTGTACAGATTTACAGGGCACTTTGCCATTGTTCTGTCCATTTCTTGCATTTTATATTTCTATACATCATCTTGATTTCAACAAAGCTTCTGCTGTCTGTATATGACGCCTCTTGCATTCTCAGAAAGAAAATAATAAACTGCAATTTCAAAACAAAAGACAGAGAACAAACAGGAAGATAGATGTTTGCAAGGAAAATAGACCCAACTTTAAAGAGAAAGAAAGAATAATAATAACTGTCAAAGTTTGGAAACCAGTAAAACATTCTCTACATTTCTCAATTTTATACAAAAATGAAATAAATCTAAGATAAGAAAGCTCTGTAAAATATGTGAGAACAAGTACCTAATGTGGAGGAATTCTTGTTACCATTAGGCTTAAAATGGCTATTTTTTTCACCATTTTGATGAAACATGGTACCTTAATTTTGAAACTCTTGCTGACCTAATTAATGGAATTTTTTTTTTTTCTTAACACAATGATTATACAGCCCTTTTGAGTTTGTAAAATGAAGAAAAGTGTCTAAGTATCAGTTAGGTCCATTACTTTGTTTTCCAAGTTGAAAGTTGGTGTTTATTGTTCTTCCAGGGCTCTCATCTGTAGAGTCTCCCAGTGCTCCACAGTTCCTTCATACTGGGAACAAAATTTTTTTCAGTAACGCTACTAGTAATGAACAGCAAGCTACTGATGATGATGCTGATAATGATAATCAATATTATTATTTCTAGTCATTACCTTGAAAAACTGCAACCTGACATTCCTAGTCTTATTATCTCCACATATGAAAGAACAGATACTGAATATTTAGAATGCTCCACCTCACAAAAGTCCATAAAAAATCTAATGAGTCTAAAGCACAATGGCAATCTCTTTCTGTACCTTTATTTCCATAGTATTGATATCTTAAGAGTAATGCAAGTTCTGTGGTCAACTGAGATTTTAAAAGTTAACATACAGATGCAGGCCAAGATTTCCAATGTTACACATTTTAAGTTTTGCTCACCATATTCATCTAGAGAAAACCACTTTTTAAAATTTCCAGTTTTAATGTTATTTTATCAGTTAATTCCCTGAGTTTCTTCCATGCCAGAAATGCATTATTTCTACTCTCTTTCCAAGACGATAATTGGGAGTGAAGGCTAAGCCTTTCCTTTGGGTTTGAATTCAGCATAAATAAGAACACCTTCCTCCCAAAAAATAAAAAAACCAAGCAAACCCAGAGAAAAGCAAACAGCAGAATGACTCATCTTGCTGAGGATAATGTTCTCCTGCTAGAAATACTGTGTGGGTGGATCTGATCTGCTGTAGTGGGTCTGTGGTGCATTGAATAATAAAATCAGCCAAACAAAAACTCCTCGCTTTTGGCTCCTGATTCACAATGTTATAAGAAAAGATACAACAGTAGTCATATAGCACAATGAAAGAAAACAAAGTCAAGACTATTGCAAATTTTGGAAAAAAATGGATTAATAAAGTGGCCCATGACTGGTGTTCTTCACAGAGCAGCAACCATAAATTTCCAACTGACCCCTCCTGAGGCCTGGCACTGACAATAGAGAGAATAAAATTCACAGAGGCACAAACTGTTCACAAAGAAACTTTTAGTGTCTTAAGGAGAAAAATAGAAGACTGACATAAGATACAAAAACATCAGTTAAAGTGAACTTTAACTAATGTTGCTCTGAATGAGCTCTAAGTAAGCTATTTCTCACTCAGCATCTCTCAGCTATTAAAGTGTCAAGGAGACTTCTAAAATTTCTAAATTTTAGAATCTAAAGCAATTTTTTTGGGATATGAGAGATTCTCTCCATTTCTGATTCTTCAAGGAAAGGAGTCTTGTGAAGAAGGTAGGGAAAGAATCAGCTATATAAGCAGCCATGAAAACAAGGTGAAGAGTTGCTTAATGCTGCTCCAGTGCTTGAAATGGAAATGGCATTCCAAAGTTATTCCTTTTCAGCTGTATTGTTTGCACTTCCTGTTACAAACTGCTGATCATGAATGAGTTGGTGTTTTATTATTCCATGGAAATTATGAACAGTGGAAGCATTCTCCATCTTAAAATAACTCTTTTTATCATTCAAGACCATCAGCTCCAATAAGAATCAAATAATCTGTCTGATTGTCAAATTCTGCCACCTTCCATGCTGTCTCTCTTTATCAGAAGCTTTTCTTACCCCATAAAAACCTCTTTAAATCTAGTCAACAACAACTGTTAAATATTTTATGGAGTTCCCATAACAAAAAATATTCTGCACCTGCCTTCAGATTGTTTTTTTTAAGGGCTCATAATCAATCTGACTTAGCTGTTAACTCAGAGACTGCCATCAATTGCAGAGCACCTTATATAGATACAGTTTCATAACAGACTTCTAAATAGATTCAACAATGCATTAAGTTGTTCAAATATTCATACCTGTCCCCTACAAACAAGATTCAATATATTTAATTTGAAGGGATAATGAAATTTATAAACTCCACCCCAACCTCAAGCAAGAGGCCATTACCATGTCCTCCTAAACTAATGTTAGCAGCTCCATGCTATGATTCTGCAAGATGTATTAGCCAGATGTGAGTTAATTATTGGCTTGGAGAAATTTATTGTATGCTATAATAAATCTTTGCATGAAGTGTTGCTTGGAGAAGTGAAAAATGAAAGAAAAAAGAAAGACGAGATAGAATAAGCAAAATGTTAAGCCTTGGGCATTGAATTTACATTTATGAGATTCTCTACGATTTACTGCTCCAGCTTGTTTTCCTAGAAACGCCTTGGGTTTGTTTCAGATAAAATACACTATAATGCTTACAACATAAATTTGTTTAAGGTCCCCCTTACTCTGTGAGTATTCAAGTACAAAAGTGAGTTCCCCACAGCAAAACTCAAGTCACAGAGGCTTAGATACATCCCCAGGCAGCTAGAAAACCCATATGTGTACAATTTCTTATCCATCCTCATTCATCAAAATCTGCCCTAAGTCACCAACATAACCAGAACTGCCTGGTTTTCTCACAGTACCTGGATTTCTGGTGAGGATTGCATCCTGGACACTCAGTACTGGAGTAGCCACATGGTCCCCTGGGTGGTGGCTCAGGGGCAGAAAGGTCTGGATAACATTGATCATTTATTCCTCGTTTTTTGCCACCTCTGATGTCAGTAATGGTGTGTTAATAAGACTGCTTATAAATCAGAAGTAAAGGTAATTAATCAGTAGCTGACTGAGACTGAGATCTCCTGCCTGCCAACACAGCAGTCCTTCCCATCTACCACCACTTCAGTATTCCCTGGCAATTAGGAACTGCTGGTGAGTGTTGGCTCAAGTGGGGCTTATTTAGTATGATATGGGGGAATAATTCCACTATTCCTGTGCTATTTATAGCTTCAGAGGGCCTGTCTGCTTGGCTCAGTGCCAATTCATGACCCATACGAGACAGCAATTTTTAATGTAATTTCTTGTCACCCATAGGTTCTCTCTTCAGAACGAGAAGAAATGGAACAGATTAAGCAGTGATATATGTAGAAAAGATGAATAAATAAAACAAAAAAGGTTTTGTCAGAAAAGTTATATGCATGTTTAAGTTGACAGGAAAGCACTGACTTAGAGTCTAACTACTGCAACACATTCTATAGAAAAATATCAAAGGAACAAGAATTGTTCACATTTTCTTATTATTTTAAATTTTAAAGGAAAGTCTAACAAAAGAGGGTAGAAACTCCAAATGGCAATTAATCATCAAAGAGAAGCATTACTTTTCATAACATTCCCATCAACTTCACTGAATTACATTTTTAGTACAACTTGTTTTTGACCAGTTCTCATACATACCTAAGAAAACTGGGTTTAGAATTTGAAAAAATATTTGTATAAACAATAAAAAAAAAAGTGTTTTATTCAAGTGAATGGAGAGAGACAAGCTAGTTTCAGAAACCAGCACGTGAACATAGAGAAACGAAATGGAAAGCTCTTTGAAAAAGGATGACAGAGATTATCAGAAGTTGGATAGCTCTCTTCTGAGACAGCTATTTTTAAAAGACCTTAAAGTGGCAAAGCACTACTGATATTCTCTAAAGATTTTTTCCCATGAGTAACACTTATAAACAGCGAACTGATGTTGCTAGAATGAAATCATAAGGAGAACAATTTTGAAAGTGGCGTCATGGGAACGACATACGTAAATGCTGTTTGCTAATAGGATTTGTGAACAGAAGTCCCCATACACTAAGTTACAGATTGAGCTCTGAGAGGATTAAAACAGGCCAAATTTTTCTTTTTTCAAACCTTTTTATTTTTATTGCTTTTCTTCCTCCTCAGTACTCTAGAGGACACCATCTTCACATCTAGAGGGAGCTGGATTTAACAAGGTTCTTGTCAGCTGCAGTTTGTAGATTGCAGGAAATCAGAGTTTTTCTGGAGCTCTGTTGATTCAATAAAGAAAAACAGAAGGATCCATGACTATCAATTACCAAGTTAAAAAGGACAATCTAGAACGAGGTGAAACCAGCATGAGAAAAGGAATTGATCTGGATCTCCACCTGAGCCCTTGGTGGAGCAAAGCTGTCCTCCCTCCTCTGGAGCACAGTGACAGAAGGAAGAAGGAAGGGATGTGAAAAGTGCTCCTTCCAACAAATGCCCCAGCACCAAGTGTGTGCAGATGGGTAGGAATGGCTTCAGCCACATCTGATTGCAAAAATATGCCTGTTCACAGTCCTGTAAAAAAAAATACAAACCATTGGGCAATTATTTAGCAATACTTCAGTGACCTATCCGGTTTTAAAGAAAATATAACACATCCATCATTAGGCCTGAGTGCCTTACAACATTTGAAAAATGTATTCTAAATCAAGAGTTGAAGGAGAAGGTAGAAATGGTCCATCTGTCAAAGGCCAGTGCAAAGTCAACATACCATTTACTTTCTCAAAATGAGTTTAACAGACCCCTACAGTTTCATGCTGGCCTTTCCCAAAAAGATGACCTCAAGAGCATTCAAATGGAAAATAATCACCTTAAAAAGAAATACTCTGACAGAGGAAAAGGAGCAGTTTCTTGATGGAGTGAAATATATAAAACCCTCAGCTCATATTACAGAAATAAATGTCTGCAGAGAGTTAGAAAGAGAGGCAGCATATTTTTGTGAAACTACATCCAGGAAATTGAACCACATGTTAGCTTGAAAGAGATGCTATATTCTAAGAAGAAAGAGCCCTGTACATTTTAAAATATAAGGCAATCTAAACATCATAAACCCCTTTGAAATGTAATTTAATATTTCTTCAGTAATTCCAGGGGAAATAAAAGATTTATTTTAAATTCTCTTTCTAAATACCATCTAGCTGTTTCCATGATAGTTGCTTAAAGGGGAAAGAGGAAGAAATAGTGTTGGAATGCTTCTGAGCAGTTTTTATTCTTGAATGCTGCCCAGCCTTTGGGCGATTTGCCCTTGCTCTTGTCCTCGTGTACTTATTTCCATGAAAGAAAAATATCACTAGAAACTAGAAACATCTTACATTAATTTAGGGTCTCTATAAAGGACTGGTTCACAAGGCATCAGGTTCACAAAGGATCCCAGACAGCAAAAACCAATCAAGGCTACGAAATGCAGCAGAAGCAGATGAGTTATTTTAACTGCATGGGGTTAAATGCTAATGGCATCATCTTCATTATTGTCTTTTCATGTATATATACATATATAAATATGTATAAATATTTCAGGAAGCTTTTTATGTTAGACCCACAGCTTGAAAGGGGCGTTAAGTGTGTTTGGCAGATTCTTCATCTGCATAGTGTCATCTATTTAATTAGTCATATTTTGAGGGATGATTGTTGGTTTTATTCTGTTTTTATTGACAGTATTTTCAAATAATTATCATGGGTACATCTCTAAAGTTTTTGTAGAAATACGTCAAGCATATAAATAATAGATCTTTCACTTGATTCCAAACAGTAACACATTACCCACCAGGGTCTTGTCTTTTTTTAGAACTTACGAGAAAGCTGCTAGGAAACTAACTTTCCAGAAAGCTGTGGAAGTACAGATGCACAAGTGAACAGCACTCAGATGTGGTTCCATACAAGGATTCACTTCTAGGCTCTGACACAGACTCACAACCCCTTGCGATGCTGTGGAGCTATCACACCATTTAACTGCATGAAATAGCAAAAGAGGGAAAACAATGAAAAAGAAACCAGAGTTTCAGAGCCAAGCTGTAGCTGCATGAATGTTTGCTAGTAATAGAAAATATGGAGAGCTGAAAACCTCTGAAGTAATTTCTAAATGGTGTTGAGACATTTAAAACTGGACTGGAGACCTAATACTAGTCCAGTCAGCAGTTTCAAGATATCAAGATTTCACACTTAGAAAACTATTGTGAACAAGTTATAAGAATAAACACTTGCAAGACAAAATTAAATTTTTAAAAGTATACATGTAAGATGACCTCATATTATCTCAAGTTTGCAACTTCTACATAGCTTAAATGTTTGGTTGTCTGCATTCCTTTTATTTTTTTCCTCTATTATTTTGCTAGTAATACAAAATAAAGGAAAATAAGAGATGAAGATAAACTCTAGAATGCATGGTAAATATCATAATATTTATTCCAGTTTAGATGCTAATGGTTTTGCTGTTACAAACAGCACTGACCTCATACCTGACAAGATTATGTAGAGCCACAACAATACAAAAATTGTTATAGAGCAGTCCATGAACCTTGTTAGATATAATAGCTGAAACAAAATTGAAACCCGCAAACATATATTTGAAATTTACCCATTTTTGTCTTTGACATAATCACTGGTCATGTAAATAATAAAAGACTTATTTTTAGATTTCAAATATTGCTTAGTGCCCTCCTGATCAGAAAACCACAGGAACAGCCCTTTTCACACCATATTTTCACACTATATTTTCACACATTATTTTTTTTTTTTTCAGTCTGGCAGATAATAGGAATCTGAAAGTGGAAAATATAAAGATGTTACTACTATCTACTTCAAAGTAAGATGTGTGTGCTTGTGTGATTAAAGGTATTTCCTGTGTTTCTGAACCTGTTTGGCTCTCTACATCACTGTCTGGACATCTAGTGAATAGAAACTCCTTTTTCAAATTTTCTTTTGCACATTTACATTTGATTACACATTTGTATCTGGTATATATATCTATCACTTAAAGCTATGGTGGCACAGCTTTATGTACAGCTATATATTCTACACATGCACAAAGAACCCAGGGTACACACAAAAGCTCTCTGCTGTTAAACTACTCATAGCTTTAAAACAAAAGGAGTGGCAAATGCCAAGAAGTGTTTGCCATGGCTGGTTGACAACACCAGGGCCCAGTGTTCCATGATTTGCTGCCAATATCCTAGGGAGGCAAAACTCCTCTTTTCATTCCCTGACTCAGCAAGCTACATATTACTTTCAGAAATAGGAGAAGTAAGAGTCCGTCGGTCTGATGGAGTAAGTATATAAATAGAAGAAAAGTCACCTTGAAAAAGTCAGTGGAAGAACTCATATTCTTCTATCAAAACAAGCTGCTGACAATTTGTTTTAAAGTACATCATGCTCAAAGAATGCTGGTGTGGATAATGCTTCACTACTTGAAATAAAAGTCAGTACAAGACAGTTTAAGGACAGCAACCATTGTCAGCATGGGATGCAGGCAGTGTTACTGCACACAGACCTCAGTAGAAACAAGAGGCTTGTTTATAAGACCATTTTCTGAAAGACTTCCCATGGTGAGCCATCAAAGATGCAATTCCTGCTTTTGTGGCTAAACAGTAGTATCTCCCACTTGAAATTTTTGAAAACAGTGCAAAAGTGAAATATGATTTTGGAGCTCAAATATTCTTATAAAAGAAAAAATCCAGACAGGAAGTCCACTCACAAAACAATCCTTATCTTTTGTGGTGAGGGGAAGGGCACAGCAGATGAGTTGCGGGGGTGCTCCCTTCCCTCAATAAACTGCCAAGCAGGTGTTCCCCCATGACTTTTTACATCTACACTGTCAGAGAAGCACTTCTCAAGTCAGTCTTACAAAACACCCCCTTTGCAGTCTTTTTTTTTCTCCAAGGTGTTTAATCTGTTTGTCTTGTCCCAAGCCGCAACATCATCTGCCATTACATTTGGGAAACTACTTCATGGTCTTATGGATCTCATCTTCAGGCATCTAACCATTCATGCTATGGCATTAGTGCAAACATTCAATAGTAAATTCTTATCAGATTTGAGATTAGGAAAGAAAACAGCTTATGGTTCTATATCCCTTTAATAATAATAGTGTTTACCTCAATAATCCCCTCAACAGAAGATGGAGCCCTCAGAGAAATATTGTCTTCATTAAGCTCTCTGTAAATGTTCCAGCAATATACAAAATCACAGATACAGTCTTTCTATTTAATTTCACCTTGGAAAACAATTTAAGCATGCACGGATGCATTTACAGGTGACTAAATATCCCTGCGCGTAGGATGAGAATGTGGAATCTGAGCACATCTCAAAACCACCAGGATTTGAGCCACTCAGTAGGTGAGGTATGTGTAGAGCTGCTTTATTGTGAAATCAAACCTTCACTCACGTAGTGATGACTTTTTCCAGGTGCAGCATGTCTGAATGTGTCTCACACTTTTGCAGGTGACATTGCAGCCCAGCACCCTGTGCTTAAAATAGACAACCTGATGTACTGTGCCTGCTCCAGCTCATTCCTCTCTCATTTTGGGATTGAAGCCATTCTGGATAAACAGATGATCTGTGAAGTCTAACACATTTGTAAAGTGTGGACATCTCTCAGCAGAGCTTAAACTTTATCATTAGATGCTATCAGCAGTCTTCTAGGGCTGCTGCTGCATTTCAACAAGCACAGCTTCAGCTGCAGCCCTGAAGGTGCATGAGGTAAAATCCTGAGGTCCAAAGGAAGGTCTCTTCTACAAAAATGGGTGAAGTTTGACCTTGATGATAACTCTCATCCAGCTGGAACATTGTCAGGTTGCAGTTTGCATGGTGCAGGACCACTTTCTTCACTCATATTTTGTTCTCACCCAGCTGACAGTGACAGTAATTCCAAGAGAATTGTTGTAAGATGTAACTATTAATACACTCTATGTTTAAATACTGGTTTGTATCCAAGAGCAGCTTTTGACTCTCTTTGACAGGAACATCCTGGCATGTGTTGCTATACTACAACAGACACGATCTGCACGTATTAATGCATGCACATTCTTATCAATAAATAAGCTTTAAATAAAAAGACTGACTTCCCAGTGAGGTAGAGAGGTCATTATTAATTAGGGTATGCAAGTTAATATTAGCCTTAAACTATGCAGAATTTGCCCTTTAATATTTGAATAAATTAAAAATTAATTATACAAATGTACTACATGAAATAAGGTCATTTTTTCCAAAGAAAAAAAGAGGAAAACTTTCCTGTTTAAAAAAATAATACAAACGGTTTGTTGTATACAAGGTAACTATTTTGCTTTCATTTGTTGCACAGACAAACTGAGAAGGTTTTCTTGCAGAAATACCAATTACCATTTTATTTGGTGACATCTTATTTAGCAACACCTGGTATGCAGCATGCAGGAAGTAAGCATCTTGTTTATGAAAAATCATGACTCCATGTCACAACACTTATGTAGGATGCATACAAGGGATTATCATCTGAGATGCAGCATCTCCCATCTTTCCATCTATAGGAGACCTGAGACTGGCAAAAGGCAAGAGAAACATTCAAGGTAAGAAGGGAGGTGATGATAGACGTGAAATTTGAATTTTAGAGGTACTGTTTAGTACCTATTCCTATTTCTTTTCCCACACAATAAATAATGTAAATATCTTTTGAACATTTAGCCATGTCCAAACAAACCATAAATCCATAAATTCCAAGAAAATTCTGAAATGTCTTCATGTCTTCTTTTTTTTTTTTTTTTTTTTTTTTTTTTTTTTTTTTTTTTGGATGGGTACATATGGTAAGTCTTAGAGCACTAGAGATTTAAAATAATGAATAAAGTTTTTCTAAGAGACATTCTTGGGGAATGTAGAATTTTATTTAAAACTTCCTTCCTCTGGGAGACACTCTTGAAATTCTTTTTATCAGCTCAACATCTTTGTCATTATATGAGTAAGTAATACATTAAAATAAACTCTTTGTAATCTCAAAGTTCCTCATAGATTTTCCTACCTTTCCAGTTCAACATTTACACATTTCTTAATTTACATGAGACTAGACATTACCAGTGAAAAGACCTGGAGAAAGAATTATGATGGAGAGAGAGGGCCTATCTGCCTACCTCCACACTTGCTGTGGTCACTGTGGTCCTGACCTTGCTTCAAGGACCAGTCTTAAATATTAGAGACAGATTTGTTGAATTAATAGGATGCTTTGACTTTGCTAATAATCTGCTTTAGGTAGGCTCCACTAAGGACAAGTCACTTGTCCTAAATCATGGCCTGGACCATATGTGCAGGGACCTTCCACTGCATGTTTTTCTCAGAGTGAGCACTCTATATAAAGATTATATATTCAACCAACAGTTGAAAATGGCAGATTTATTTTTGTACCCAAGCTAAGGGTGTCAATAACTAATTATGTCTGATTTTGATGGAGAGGTACTCGATAAAATGTATTAAGAGATAACTTTTGAGAATGCCAAGTGCAGAACTATTCAAAGCCTGTGCTGATGTTGCAACACAAAACGAGTGAGAGCAGAATGAGTCCAAGCCAAGTCTGTAGAGGGAGTACTGTGAGCAAACCACAGGAAACTGAAATCACACCATATTCATAAGATGTACTAGCTGTTAAATAAAGGCATCATACCCAACAGCTCCCATCTGGACATCTGAATCCTAGGCATAAAAGGTTCAAATTGCATATATTCACCTAGGATTGTCCTAGAGTTTGTCTTCAATAAAAATAACCAATAGTTTGAAATAAGAAGAGTTTCATCTACAGCTGTCTTTACGACTGCTTACTTTTGAAAAAAATAGCTGTGTTCTTTTCTATTTTCTCCACCAGTCAGTTTGCTGTTTCCTACCTCTTCAAACTCATGCCTTCTTTGCTCCACTTCCCTGAACATTTCCTTCATCAGTGTTGCTCCCCCTTGTCTTCTTGCACTTAAAGGCATGATGTTGTAGAGACTTTATTGGTTATCCCTTTCCCCACAGCATTCCCTTTAGGCTGCTTTTGTCTTTCTTCCTCCTCTGTAAATAGGGCAGAAACAAACTAGAAGTATTCCTAGTAGTCATGTGTGGGTTTCTAGATGCTTCTTTGTAATCCAGAGCTTAGATGTAGCTGGAAGCACTAACTAAAGAGCCATCTGACCCTGTAGGTTATTAGACATTAAATTAAAAACAAAAATAATGATGTGCCATGGACGTATGACATTAATAATTAAAAGTAATATGAATAGGAAAAAAATCACTGTTCCTTGTTTCTTCTGAATTCTATACCAGTGTGACCCTAATTAGGACAGCAGAAAGTGTTCTGTCCCCAGGTATTCCTCTATCTCACAGCTAATTTGAGGAGCTGGGAGAATGTAGGTCCCAGCTTCTCTTCCTGGTTTAGTTGCCAACATTTTTTGTTGCAGCTCATTGACTTTCTTGCCTGGTGTGTTTAAACCCAGGCAAAGCAAAGATGTTTCATGCACAGGGACTAAGGGGAAACCACAGAAAATCTGGAGCAGCCAAAGTGCTACTGTGTCCTGCATTCCCTGAGAAGGGGAGGCAGTGTTTATCAGCTGTAATTGCTCAGAACGTGGGGGAAATGGTCTCAACCCCCAGAGCTGGGGTACCTTTTGTCCAGGATCTCAGTCCCCTACAAACACCTCACAGAGCTGCTCTGGTGCGGTAATCTGCGCTTTTGTGCAGATCTAGTTTCTTCTAATGTCTTGCAAATTAGTTAATTCAAATGCAATTGCCGTGTCTCTCCACAGTATTGAATTATGCTAATAAGAACATATTTCTTGTTTTTCTAGTGCTTTACTCAGGATATAAGCTAGAAATTCAAATATTCATCCCAACTTGTTTTATTTATCAGTGAGGTCATTTCAGTCATTGCAAATTTTATACTGCAAGCTATAATAATATTTTAACCTCTTTTAAAGTTTCACAATGAACTAGAATTCACCTATAAGGACAAAACTACAAAAGGAAGTAGAGATTACAGTGGTGATCTCTAGTAACCATAGAAAGTCTCAGCTGGAATCAGTGTGAAGTCAACTACAGGACTGTAAAAAATGAAGTACTTTGATACAATAGCATATTGATTTTCCCCAGTATTTAGTAACATATATTGATATCAAATAATGAAATACATGCTTGTAACAAGAGTTAACTTCCTAGATATATTCAGAAAGATGATTCTAAAGAGAGAAATAATGATAACAGGGTACTAAATTGGAAAAATGTCATACTTCTATTTGATGTTTTTTCAAATTCCTTTAATGAATATTTTACTAATGTATTCAATTTGACAAAAAAATTCAAAACTAATTATGGTAGAGCTGTTGGTGAGTATCAGAATGTAAAAGCAAAGTACCAAACAAACTAATCCTACAGATATATTCAGGACTAAGCACCAAAATAATTTCACAAACTTCCAGTTCTATGATCCTCGTTCTCTTGTGGGAGATGTTAGGATTAATTTTCAGTAGATCTTTCTGAGATAAATATCCAAGAACATGAATTGGTTACAAACCATAACCTGTTGGTCCTTAGCGACTGAACAAACCCATCTCCTTATGGTACAAAACCTCCTCCTTCACCCCAACTCAGCAATTCTTATTTCAGTATCTGGAGGTTTTTGTCTGAATAGCAGATTTTTTCATCCTACATCTCTAAACACATATTTTGCCATAATACCTGCTGAGGTTACTTCTCTTTTCCAGGTCAAAAAGATGTAGAAAAAGTTGTACAGGTCCTTAGGACAAGCTTCCCTGGAAATCTGAAATTTGTGAGAGCTGACGTGTGGCATGCACTAACAATATGTTTGGAGACTTTGGCACACAGGAAGAAATGGATTGGTCTGAGTGTCACAGAGCAAAAGATCACAAGGCTACTTTTGTCAGAGAAAGGTGCTGACAAGAAGGCTGTATTCATTAATCCTTCCCAGAGGATTTGTAAAACATGGGATGTCTCCTTGCTCAGCTTCATTCAAATATAAAACTGAAACCCTATTTCCAAATCTCTGTGTGTGATGGCAGTAATAGCTACCCAGCTATATTTTTGCTCCCTATAAACAGAGGATTTTATGCATATCAGGACAAAGTAGAACTCTAAATATTCATCTCTGATTATTTTATTCATTTTTGAAATCCCAGCATGCTATGGAAAACCTCATCAGTAGAGGCAGAAGGAAACAGCAAACAAAGCTATCTATAATCTTGTCCTCTGAAAAATACAGCCAACATTATATGTGGGATCAGTTATTTATGCTAGTCAAAAAGAGCAAAGGGACAATTGCCATTTTATCCTTGACTCTCATAGACACCCTGAATCCATAGAGAAACAACACACACAAGATGAACGAGGCTCAGATATCAAAGCAAGCAAATTAATGCCAATTAATGCCCACATTCTTTTCCAAATAGGTTGATAAACCTATCTGTTTGCCAAGCATAAATACTGAAGTTTACATGTTGTATATATGTTGCCATTGGGAGCTTGGGCATACAGAATTTGAGAAATAGAGAAAATAAATCAAGAATTTACGACACAAAATCATAGGGCATACCCTACTGAAACACTGCTACTGTAGTGTCACTGAAAGTCTGCTGTTGCAGTTGATATTAAGCAGGATTCAGAATGTAAAGATAAGAAATTCATCAATGCATGGCCATGAGAAATTGCTGTAGAGTGAAGCCATTTGAATGCCTACTAAGAAAATAAGGCTGTCACAGTAAACACAGTAAACACTTCTGATATTCTTTTCCATGAACTAACCTCCAGGCCTTTACCAGCAGTAATGAATTAGACATCCAGATAAGGTATGGTGTTCTTCATTTCGGAGTGGGTTACCAAGGCACAAGCAGCTTTAAACCTTCCTCCTTCATTAACAGTGAAGGTATTCGTATTTTCATGCTGTGTACCACAACTTCTGTTGCCTGAAAAATAAACTGTGACTTTAATTTACAAAACTGTGACTTTAATTTACAAACTACCCCAATTTCACAGAGTCCGAGCTCTCCTTTGCCTATTATGTCTAAACCTTCAGCTATACTAATCTATCTGGAAAAGCCTTGCAATAAAAAGGTTGTTCCACGACCTCCTTCACTGTACTCCTCAGGTATGACTTGACCAAAACCCAATTGTGAATGAGTGAAAAGAACTGGGGAAATAAAAGACAGGAGACACTACTTGCTATATCAGTGCTAAGAAACCTTAGCTCATTTGTATTCCCCACCTTTAAGAGACAGTTTTGGAGACTGATAACATAATTTTCCTAAAAGAAAATGGCAGATATGGAAAATTGACATTCTTTGAATCACAAAGGACACAATAGTATTCAGGACCTTGTAAGAAATTCTCATGCTGTAGTTTCAGAAGAAAACTCTAAAGATGCTCTGTGATGTGAGTCTAAGGAAAAAAAAATATCTTCAATTACAGCTTCTGATGTCTTTTTTACTTTAGACAACAGACAACATGAAGGAGCTGGCAGCTGAGAATGGGCAGTGACAGAAGTCATAGCTGTGACTACCAAGAAGTATAACAGGGAGGATACTGCACTAATGGGTGCCTACTGTCTACAAACTCCAGTGCAGAGTGGAGTTTACCCACAGAGAAGCTTACCTGTAAAATGAGATCTGATTACTCTATTTCTAAAGTCTGTCAGCTTGTCTATGTACTATAGGTGAGAAGTGTTTCACTCACTCCTTTGGTGCATGCCAGACCTTGATTTGCAGGAATTATCTAAGCATAAGTCAATACTGATGTCACAGTCAGTCTTTGGCCTCACACATGAAAAAACCCCAACAGAAACAAATCCCAAAACAAAACAATATGCTGATAGTTTTAAGGTGGGAGTGCCCAGGAATTATTATCCATAACCTGAAATTTCTTAGTTCTGCACGTGGGCAGTCAATGTGTCAGAATAATCTTGATGATGTTCTTGTATTCTCTTCACCTTACCTGTACACTTCATTGCTAGTCACTCTTCCCTGTTCAGCCTTGCCTTAAGTAGAAGGGAATTTGTGTCTCCCTTTTAGCTTGTATCATATCTAGCAGAGATCTTGTATCAAACATCAGCTTTGGTCGACTGGCTTAATGTTTAGGTGGCAATTTCTTTTTCTCCTACAACTACAACTGCAGTTTCAAACCAGCCACAGCTGTAAACCCTCCCCTCCAAGGAGTCTGGGAGCAACCAGCCAGGCCAGTTTGGAAAGAAACCCTAATCCATTCTTTGTTCAACAGGAAGGAAACCCAAGTCTGCATACCAAAGCTTTATTTCAGAAGACCAAACATCAGCAGTTTTACAGTGATCTTTAATTTCCCATTTGGTTCCATGAAAAAAAAAAACAAAACTATCCAAAACAATTATTGCCCAGAACAAAGCTCTCAAAGGGCTTTCGATCCCTGAAACAGTCTTGCTAATGATCCCTTCTCAGTGGTTTGTCCTCCTTTTCTTTATGACTTTCCTGCACACTTATTTTCAATTAAATGAAACCTTCCTACTTATTTTTTTATACTGTCATTTTGTAGGAGAAATACCAGGACAGATTTTTCAAGAGACTCTGAAAGCCTTGCTCTTCATCTGAGTCACCATTCTTCATGGGACACCCTGAGCTGCATTCCCAGCAGCTGGCTGCAGGCATCCAGACTCCCTCCCCTCCTTCCTGACTGAGGTTCTGTGTTATTCAGCTTTGCAGTACTTGTGGTGGTGCTGGCTACAGGTGTCACAGGCCTTTCTGAGTCCTTTAATTCCATTTGCAAAACACTGGCATAGACCTTGCAGAGTACAGAAAAGTGTCAGGGAAATGTAACATATTTATAGCCAAGCTCCCATGTTGTTTATAGTGTCTCAGCAAATATTTTATTGTTTACTGCTTTAAGGCCCACTGATACATTTAAAATGTGATCCCTTGGGCAGCTGAAGCAATGAAGCCTGACTTCCTACAGCATCATCCCTTCTTTAAATTCTCTGGTACCTGCTAGCAGTGAAGGCACAATGGGATCCCATGGTCTTTATTTCTCTCTTGTTGCATGAAATTTTTAAAAAGTGTTATTTTTGAGACAGCTGCTGCACAAATTTGGGTGTAACTGGCTAATGAATTCATAAGTTTGGGGGTAGAGGCTTGGTATATAGATGGATAGCATGATACAGATTTTATCTCCTTAGAACAGATATTAAAATAATTCTCTGGTACTTCAGATACCCTACCTAGGGCAACCAAAGAGTGAAGAAGCTAAGCTGTTACCCAGTATGCCATTCAGTGCCAGAGATGAAATACAGTAAAAGAAAATATCTCAGGCTGAAAAGAAAAATAGACAGGACCAGGCCACACTTGCTAAGAGAATATGTCAATGTTTAACACTGAGGATGAATCATAAGTTGTACTGCTTACTGTCAATAGATGAAGCCGGGAAATTGGATGTTCAGTGAAGCAAGGCAGGACCTCTGTAGTTAGAGTGCATAATCTGAAACACATCACTGCAAAGTGGGGAGGGGGAAGTGACTAACCCAAGAAGATGGACGTTGTTCATTTCAGCTGCCAGGGTGAGTAAGTAAAGATAAAATAAGCTTTTAGATTCACAACAAGATCTTTCAATTTCCTGACTAAAGGAAGCAGCACTTTGTTACCTGGATTCTGCCTTTTCAATTGGGTCTTGCCTCAATTTCTCTTGCATGAGCAGGCTGAAGAAGAATTTCAAAAGCTTTGGGTAATTTTGTATATCTGTCTTTTATAAGCATTGCCCATCAATTTTTTTCAGAGAAAAGCTGAAGGGTCCTTACCTTGCTCCTTGATTAAACATTTACTGACTGCTAATTTGGTAATGCATTACTGCTATAAATGATTGCTTGCAAAGCAGTGGAGAGATGGGCCTGAAATATCTGTCTATTCCTGTAGCCTTCACATCCTGTATGCTCATACAGGATTATTAATCTTTGTCAGGAAGGTCAGGAAGCATCAAATAGTGATTAATGGTAAGTTGCAGGGGTTTCTGATAACTGAGCTCCAGGGATTGTGGTTGAAACCTGTTAGATGGCTATTAATACCTCCTTTGCCCTTCCTGTAATTCGCTGTGACTGCAGATGACTGTTGAAGAATTGCTGGTTTTTCATCTTGCAAGGACACTCACCACCCCTCTCCCTCCTCAACAGGGTCAACATTTGTAGACCTTTTGTATTGCCAGTTGGGCACTAATGAGGGAGCATCAATGGATCAGGAAGAGCTGCATCCACAATTCTTTCCCTGTCCACAGTTCACCATGGTAGGCACTGCCCTCTGAAACAAGCTCACAAATAGCAGCCTGGAGCATGTAAAAGGGTAAGATAAAACATTCCATGTCAAAGGAGTACAAAAAGTACAAAGACTGTTACTTAGTGAAATCTGTGCAGGAAGTTTTTCTGTGCGCAGATAATTTTAATCACATCGTTGGAGACTTCATCCAAGGCTGCCGACTTAAAGAAAAACAAACCAACAAAAACATGCACAAATTACCCCTAAAACCCCACCAAAAGCCCTCTTTCTTAAATACTAAGCTTAGAGAATATGCATCCTGCTCAAATGTAAGACACTATGTCAAAACAGGGTCAGGAAAAGTCTGGCAGGCAAATTTGCAGAAGAACCCCAGTGTGGATGCTTATGTTGCTAGGATAGGAAGGAAACAAAACCATATCTTCTCTCTTTGGGAAATGTACCCAGTGATTCTGAACCCTTGCTCTTTACACTGGAGCACTGACTGTTGCTTCCAAACCATGGGTAGGGTTTCAGGGTAAGAATGCATGGCAGGGTCAGCTAATCTTTCTATCCTCTCTGGTCAGAATGTCCAATGCTAGGAGTAGAGAGAGTGTCACAGGTTGTGTTGGATGTGTAGAACAAATTCTCCAAAATACAGTCACGGGAGAAATAGTGGCTAGAAACTAGGGAGATATCTTGCATGGATATTCGAAAATGCTTCAGTGTCTAATCTGTTCATTATGGTGTAATTTAGGTACAAAACTGCTTTGAAATTCTTTCATGACTATCTATGTCATTTTCCAGTTACCTAAATGTATTCTAAAATTTAGCTCTGACAGGCTACTTGAACAAAATACTTTTCAGCTATGTGTTTATATGATTGTGTCGCTAGTTAATTACTCTCTATTTCCACAGTAAATTGAAATCATAAATTCATGGTGCAAGCAAAAGTGTGTGCTTGCATAATCCATAATGGTATCCAATTTTGAAATAGGAAATGCAGAGAAACAAGTGTATAGAAATCAAAATATTTGAAAATTGCTATTTTTTTTAGGATGCTTCTTCCTGTGTCCTCTAAACTGTGTAATGAATGCTGTCCTGGAAAACCACTGTATCTTCACATGAATAGTTCTTGTGGAAGGATGCTGTAAGCAGTATCAAATTAGCTGCCATAGAATTTGGCCACTTAATGCTTTTGCTGTGAATGTCACACCCCATGCTGAGTCACTGTTAAGTGATTGAGCTGATATAAGCGAATGCATTGACTAAGTAGTTTATTTATATCTTGCTGCCATCAATCTAAGAAACTGCTAAATGTATTAAATAATCAATCCACTCAGCAGCTGATGATGCAGTAGTAGAAATGAAGTCCTACTAGGTTTTTATTATTGCTGTCAGAGAGGCTCTTTGGATGCTCTGAACATGTGCAAAAGGATAACAATTCAACAAATACAGCTCACATTTAGAAAAGTCTGAATGACTTTTGAAAGAAAAGACATAATAATACAAAGAAACTGGAAAGATAATAACATGTGGTTGTTTGTTAGGGGCTGCAGCATTCAGTAAAACTGCTGTACAGGTTTGAAAGCTGTGGACTACAGTATGTGTCTGGATTACAGTGTGTGTCTGGCCGTTTAATGCTTAATGTATTAATGATACAGAATTGCCTGTAGGTTACAAATTATTCACTGACAGGGATATGTGGACAGCATCATTCTGTATTATTTTTTACAGTCATGTCATTATGCAATATACATAATTCTAAAATGTCAAAAAAAATCATTCATTAGGGAGAAGGCAATGCAAGGACCCACCAGACAGCTGCTAAAGACCAAAGGAATCAAAGCATTTCATGCCCCATGGAGCTTTTTTATATGCACATTTCAGTTCTGTGACTCTTGTAAACTTCACCAGAGGTAAGAACATTGAGATCATAAATGCTAGTTACAACTGCCATCATTTAACTTTATGTTAGTTATACTTGTCTGGTGTAGGACTTAGGTCAATGTCACATCCAGAATTTTTCTCTACGTTAATTCTGAACTGCACTTTGCAAAAGCGAAGACAAAGATATTTTGGGAATAACAATGCAACGTGTCTGATCTTCTGTCTGCTCATATCCAGAGGACGAAATTGTGAAGATTGTGCTTCTGTTCCACTTAAACACAGGCATAGACAGTTATATAAAATAATAGAGAATATATGCTCAGTGTCGTCTGAACAGTTGGCCTTATTGATATCACACATTGACATCAAAACTTGACTTTACTGAGGTCACAGCAAAACTCCCATTGATGAAAAAGGGCACAGGTTTCACTTCTAGAGTTTTACTCTGCTTTCTCCTCTTTCATGTAAGAATGAGTGTAATGAAGCCCACTCTGAAAAAAAAGAGTTTTAAAGGTTGGGCTGACATGTGGTATTCACATGCCCTCTGACCAGAGAGAAGCTGTGAGACAAGCAGAGAAGAAGGAAAAACATAATTCTTACCTCTCTTGCTGTGCTGAAGTGGAATGCAATACAGAGTTTGTTTACCCAAAGTGAGGGTGTTTTGTTCTCTTGGCCTATCTTGGCCTATCAGGGCCAAGAGTTGTGTGTGTGTCGGGACTGTCTGCTGACAGTCATGGGACAGTCACAGGAGAATCCAGGACGAGGGCAGTTCTGTGCAGTTGTGAGCAAGGGTGAGTGCAAGGCAGATTCACTTTAGATGCAATGTATATAGTATAGAATAATAAAGTAATTATTTAGCCTTCTGAAGATGGAGTCAGATGCATCACTTTCTCTCCCTTGCACATGCCAGGAGCCGCCTGCGCAGTAATACTGATATTTTGCTTTGGAGTAGTATTTATGAAATGAACATTATCATAAACAGCTTGGTTAGAAGGAAAAGTCATTGTTATACATAGAGCTGATAAATAATACCAGAAAACAAAGCAAAAAATATTCCCTCAAGTATTTAATATAATTGCTTTTATTTGTGAGAAAATTAGTCAGTTCTCTTTGAAGTATGTCATTTGGAAGTTGCAGCAACACTACTAATAAAGTGTAGGCGGTGGAATGGAAACATCAGCACTACTACATTAAATGTAAAGGCTTTGCTAAAGACGTGCATATTTGATCCTATGAGTTAAACAAGAGAAGTATCAAAACAAGAGTATTACAGAGACTTGCATAAAGGCTAAAAATAACTTAATACAGGAAACATTAAACATCTAGTTCAGAAGGAATTGAAAAATACATCATACCACTTTAGGAAGGCCTACAAAAAAGAGAAGCAAACAGAAATGTAAGAGGACATAAAAGAAAGCAAATAAGATGAAAACATAGGTCATAATTTTAAAAATATAAAGAAATCAGAACAAATGATTAATCAAATTAAACTGAATAGCAAACACAATAATGAAAGTATACCAAGAGAAGGAGAAAGACTGTTTAGGACTCTACAGCATGAACAGGTCAGCAGGGATGGTCTAGAGAGGTGGTCTTTACTGCAGCTATATTCCTGTACTAGATTTATTTACAAAAAATGTTTCACAAAATACTTTCATAGAGGACAAGGAGGAAATTATTCATCACGTGGTATTACCTCCTCCTGGGTTTGGATGCTATACATTGATGAAAGACATACAAAACATGTATCAGTATTTGTTATTTTTCCAGACAGACTGCTACTACATGGGATTCCTATTGCCATGAGGTATCCCATGGCATTCATGCCAAAGGGTAGAATGAGCTGGCCTCATAAATGTGAAAGTTTAAAAAGCAGCCCATGTATTGCAAATGAGACAAGATAAAGGTCAACAGGGTAATTTCCTTAACAAAGTTACTTACTCTGGAAGAAAGTTCCAGATTTCTTTTTCAGCATTGCACTAATCAATGAAAATTAGAACTTTCATGAAATCTCCTTTTCTCCTTAGTTAAAAACACCAACATAAATGCAGCGAAATTTGTCTGATAAGAATTAAGATCTCCAAGCAACAACCATTCATCCCCATTACATTAAATCCCCAGCTGCCAGAAGGTGCTTTTTTGTACCATAGATAGCTCCCATTGCTCTCAAATTTCTTCACTGCACTGCTTTAGTCTCTTGATTCACTACAGATTTAAAGGTAATGAGTCTGGCACTGTCCAAAGCACCTTGTGATACCTCCTCATACTCAGCTAAACACAATTAGGCTGGACAAATCCAGTGCCATTGAGTTCTCATGGTGATTAGTGGCAGCCTGAAAGAGTCAAGAATGAAAAGAAAGCCTCAAAGGGGGTCTTTGCTAAGCCAAATAGGTGGTTGCAAAGAATTAGCTCCTTATTGCCAGAGTCAAAATTCAACCACACTAAGAGCCTGCTTAAAGCACAGTTGCTGAGAAAACCTCCCACAAGAACGCTGCAAAGAATTGACCAAAACTCACCTGTCATAGGAAACAGATGAGAAGGGATAGAGAAAGGGAGGAAAAACAAATGCTAATGAGAACATAATAGATTGTGAATGCAAAGAAAAATTTCAGAATTATAGTTTAACATGTAGTTATGTAACTATATAAATAAACTAGAAATAGTTTACAAATGTAGTTTACTATATATTTCAAATGTAAGTTTGCTTGAGTTGTCTTTACTATTACCAATGGTACTGCTGCTCTTCTATTGCCTGTTATTGCCTGGGGCCCTAATTTGTCATCTCTGTTGATTTTGGCTGTTGGTTCTCAGAGTTTGATTGATTATTGTGAGCAGCAAGAGAATTCTCTGGTGATAAACTGCTACATCCTAGAATTTATCAAAACACATAATTGGCAGGATTGTGAATTTACACTTTCTGTGTACAGTGTTGGAAACTAAAATGAATATGAATCCTAGTTTTATAGGCTGTTTCTTTAAACTGGGTCAAGGAAATATTATGGTTACATCATTCAGTTTGCTGCACAGTCAAGCAGCTGAGGAAATTTCTCATTTATTTGATATTTTTTATGGACTATAGAAATCTCAAGGCATTAGGCCATGCTTACTGTCCGAGCCTCCAGGACTTCAGAACGGAGATTATACTGCACTGATGTCACTTGTGGGCTGAATATAAACACTATAGGTGTAGATATAAGGGAGATAATTACATAAAATTAATAGCAAAAAAATGTTTTTGTACTCCCTGAAGCAAGCAACAAAAGTGTCTTTGTGAGTGCAGTTCTACACACATTGCTGTTGTCAGCCAATTGCTCTATGACCTAGAACTTAGCCAGCTATAAAACCAAAAATAAACTACAGAGAGAGCAACTCTTCACACTGATGGTAAGTACTCAGAGGCTAGATAATGACAAGAATAAAGTTTTCAGTTTATCTTAACATAATGGAATTATCTCGCCATTTCTGATTTTACTAATACAGACAAAATGAAGGACCGTAAAAAAAAAAAATAAATCAATCTGCTTTTATCTAAAGCCTTTATACCATGAACAATCCAAGAACAGCAGGGTTTGTGAATTCTGGAGCAAGACTGATACAGAAGGTCTGTTTTAATAGTAAAATCACAGCTGCACTGCCTTCATGAGCACAGCAGGTTTACAAGGTGGATCTGAGTACATTGTTTTTATATGCCAGTGTGATGGGATATGAGAAGCTGTTGTAGGCCTGTCCTTTCCAATTACTGAGTTTATCTGCTTATGTTTGGGTTCAGACTTTTAGTATAAGCACCATAAAAGGTGGGGCTCAGCCCTGGGAAACTGCATAATTTCTCTGCTATTACAGCTGATGATCAAGCACTGCCTAGCATATTCCCTGCATTTATGTCAGCTTTTTCTTCATTTTGCTGCTAATCTCTAGTTGAGAGCTTACACAGCCCTGGAGCAGTGTCATACTGCTTGTCCTTTGAAATTCATCTTTTGTTGCTCCTTACAGCCATGCAAAACGGATCTCACGGAACTGTTTGGAGCAAGATGATATTTAAAGCTCCTTTTCTGTACACGAGGAGATGACCCCACTGACAGCTGACTTCCAACAGAAGGTTCCTCACCCTGAAGTGCCATCCCACTGCAATATTAAAGGAAATGTGGGGGCAATGGGTATCAGATGCATAACTTTCTGAGGAATGCTAAACCCTTAGTAGAACAAGGTTAAATCCAGAAAAGCCAGTTACAGCTCTCTGTCTTGCAGACAGAGTCTAGGTTACTCTTTGGGGCTACCTGTGGCTGTCTGCTTATAAATTTGGAAATCACAGCCAAGGGATATTGAGCACTTCCGTAATATTCACTCTCAGTGAGAGCTGACATCAGGCTTTTTGGAGTCCATCCATGGGTTAAAGTAAAAAGCCTTCCCTTTTCCTGTCAAACTCTAGTGTGACTTGCACAACTACATAACAATCCCAGGGATGCCCATCAAGCCTTGATTGCTCACCCCTAAGACTGTCTTTGCAACCAGCCACTAGTGCTTGTCTGGCTGTCTCTCTTAAAAACCTGGGGCAGAGAAAGGTGCTCTTGCTCATTGTGATATAGGTTAAAGAAAAAAAATTCCAACAGCTTTTGCATTACCAAAATGTTCTGCTGTTTGCAGAAAGCCCTGAGCAGCATACCAACAAAAGCATGACCTTCCTGCACAAGTAATGGCTTATGGAAAGGCAGCCCCTTCTGCGGGGCAGTGGGAACAGTAGGTTATGAGTGATGAAAGTCTTCAAGGGCACTTTGCTTGAAATGGTGCTGTGTTCTTTCTCTGCCCTAGTGCAGACACACCACTTATCACTCTAATTGAATCAGTGACTTATTCTTATAGACTAACGTAGTCATTGACATTCCTGGAAGGCTGTGAAAGATGCAGGGATAAAGACAAGTAGGTCTGCACTGTCTGGAGCGTTGTGTCACTGTCATTTCATGTACGTGCAGTGCTAACACCCGTGCTGTGGTAGCACACTGGGACAAAGTGACACTCATGTATCTAGGTGTGTTGACTCCCACATGAAAAGGCCTTTTTTGTCTTTATGGGACGTAACTTAGCATGTACAATAATACTTTTCTCACTGGGCTCAGGGACCCACAGGAATTCCCAAAACCTGAACATCTGACCACCATTGTTCTGGTTTTCCTTTACCATTTTTATGTTTTTTGCAGTTTTGTATAAATGGCCTGCGTATCTCAATGCCTCAGTTCATTACAATGACCAAGGGACAATTCCCTTTCAGTTTAGGATACCTGAGGCTCACCAAGCACAATGGCTCAAGCTTCAGCAGGAAGACAAGCTGTTGCCTGCCCTCTGCCAGCACACCCAGCCAGGACAGCACTTGGTCATTTAGACAGTGTGTGTGTGTGTGTGTGTGTGTGTGTGTGTGTGTGCACACTTCTGGGTCAGATGTTAATACCCAAGGAAAGCAGATTATAGAGGGTGAAAAAAAACCTCTAATAAAAACCACAGTTCTGTGCTACTTATAACATATCCGGGTTTTGCTTGTTTTTGTTTTAGTTTTTAATTTTATGTTACCTGGAAAAATATATTTTTTAAAAAAGTATCAGTGAGAATCTGTTTAACTGCATAACCACAGATCCTAACCTAGATCCTAACCTAGACTTTTCATCTT